GCAGGCTCCTGCTGAGGTCAACGACTGCTACCTCCTGTACTTATGAGTGGCATAGCTTCTCACCAGGGAACACAAACCTTGATAAAATAGGCCTGTGTTCATTCTTGAGGAACAGCAAAGTTTTTACAGAGCAAGAAGTCAAGGCTGACCATGGGGCAGGACCCGTTTGGGTAGTCCACAGGAGAACTGAGAGATAGCTTTTCTCCAGCCCTTTTTTCCTCCTGAAACCTCAGAGTCTCTTTCCCCTCTCTGGGACATCACTTCATCAGGAGGTGTGGGAAAGGTATGGAGCTTGTCCCTGTGGCAACAACTTCAGGGGAGGACATTGGAGAAGAGCCGTGTTTAAGCTCTCCTGTTTTTCAGGGTTGCCTTGTACAGGAATAGGAACTTGCTGGTTTTCTCTAGCTGTGCAAATTCCCATCATTTCCCTTTTAGGGGCATCTCTGAAGCACGGCAGATGAACTGCCCCATTGTGGTGGCTCTTCCCTGAATCCACTGTCTCCACACTAAGAGCCAGAGGACGTTACTTGGGATCAGCACGACGTCCTTTTGGCACGGTGGTATTTCCCCAGGGAAGCAGCTCTGTTCTTGGAGCTGTGTCTCCTAAGGAACAGAGTTGTTTAAAGGACTGAACACGACTCTTTTGACGGAACACACTTGGCTGAGAAATCCCCTGCCTGGCCTTACCTCACTTACCCCTTACAAAGGGCTGCGTGCGAGTTGTGCCCACGGTCATTTTGTTGACACAACACATTTTGTCAGCTGTGCAGGAAGGCTGGAGGCAGCAGGGAAAAATACCAGAGTGGATCTGGCTGGGCTAGGAGAGCTGTCATGCCAGACTGCCTGCATACACTTGCACCAGGAAGTCCCCCGGCCATGACAGTCTCTGGGAGCAGTCAGGGTCAGGTCAGACCAGGCCATGTTGTCCCATGTGAACGTTGTCCTCTCAATGACTCTGGAGTAGCCATACGTCAAAATTAACGTATTTTTTGGAACCTTACATAGGATAAGGATTAAAGATGGGTACATAGTCCTGCTATTTTCACTGTTGCTGAGCATAAAAAGCAACAGGTCACAAAATCCCCCCTTCACAGTCACGGGCATGTCTAATGGGCACAAGAAACCCCAACTCAGATGCCCAGCAACACCAAGGCAAACAAAAAAGCACAGTTAGAAGTCTGTTAAGAGGCAAAGGAACAAAAGTACTGCTCTCTCTCTCTAGTGGAAATGGTAAAGCTGCCAGTAACTTCACTAAAATGGGGGAAAAAAGGCTTTTCAGTCAATATTCCTATTCTCCATTTGGCAAAGCAAACGGTGCAGTCACATCGCAGGTGATGGTGAAACCCTTCTTGCGTCAGCAGTAACTCAGAAAGTTGTTTGAGAGCAATTGCAGAGGGTAAACATAAAAACATCTGATCTGAATAACTATCATTCAAAGTTTTTAAAAGATCTGGCCAAGAACAGTCAGGCTGTTCAGCCTGATTTTCAGCAGGGCAGAGAAAAGTCGGGTATCGCAATACCCCTCCTGGGCTAAAACAAGAGAACTGAAGATAATCGCTCAGTAAGAGTTATGTAATTAGCAGCAATACAAACACATCTCAGTACTATAATGCTACATGTCTGTTTATAACCAATTAAGGTTTCAAAAAATTGCTATTTCTTACTCAGCAGCTGGATGGTGCCCAAGGTTTTGTTTGTACTTGAAGGTGGGTCCTCTTTAGAGGACTTTCAGGGAGACAACACAGGGATCACGTTGGTTTGCAAGCACAGCGTGAAGTCAGGGTGGCAAATGAATGTCTGTGCATGGAATAGTGACTCTTGATGGACAAGCAAGAAAAAAACCAACATGTAGAATCAGAAGAGTTCTGCTCAAAAGTGCTTAGAGCACAGCCCTTTGCTCTTTAATGGTGGCTAAGATTATTCATCAAATTTGGCAAATATTTTTAAAGAGGTGAATTTTTCTCGTCCTCCTGACTCGAATTTCAACCTAAGTCAAAATGTCATGTGTTGATATTTTCAAAATGGAAATGTTTTCTTCTGAGCTAACACTTTTGTTTCAAAACAGGACTATGGCTAAAAGCATTAGCTAGTAGGAAAATGAAATAAAACATTGTGTTTTGGATCAAATTAAACATTTCAGTTAGTCCAAAATAATTTTCCTCCCAGTTTTTCAGTTTCTACTGAACAGAAAATCCATTATTTGGAAATCTGCCACATACACTGATGAACTACAACTAAAATGCTAGGGAATATGCCTGAAGAAAGACCTGGAAAAACTGGGACAACTGCCAAGGTCCATGAAATTGTTTCAAGGACAAGGGAGCTTTCTCTAGGAAGGATGGACTCCAGGTCCATTGAGACACGTCAAAAAGAACTCAGGAGAAACCTTAGTACAGTCTATATAGACAAATTTTTTTTTTCCTTTTCTTTTTTTAAAGCTTAGCTAACAGAAGTATAAGTGAACACAACGTCCAAATTTGAGGGTGTACAAGTTTTGACCAAGATTCCAGTTCAGAACAGAGTTAGTTAACCTTTGGAATAACTTTTGTGGTGTTGGATGGTCTGTCACCAGCAACTTTTAAAAATACTGTTGAACAATTCTCCCCCAAACAATCCTTTACTCCTGGAAGAGAATTGTCAGTGAAGATGGGTTCAAGGCAAGCTGCCAGACTTTACCCTATTTTGAGTAAGATTCACTCTACTCTCTACCAGCTTGGTTGCCCTGAGGAGAGTATCTCTCGAGCAGCAGCAGTTCCCAAAACCCTGATGAGCCCCAAAGCAAGGGGTTGTGAGGGCAGGGAGCTTTACCTAATGAGAGGCATCATGTCATGCCCTTGGCCCTAGAGAGGACATTTACACCACAACGTGTAGAGCAAACCTGCTGGAAGAGCAGAGCAGTTCAAAGCAAAATGCTGCCACTCAAGGGAACTCCTTGGCACGAGCAGGCATCGTTCTCAAAATACAAAAAGGAGGAGGAATGAGTTGTTACTGCTGCCTCCACCACCCTGCTCTGCAGGTAAGGATGGTGTGAACCCCAAGATGACCTCTCCCTGTAGGTGCTCCTTGGGGCAGCTGCCACCTCCCGGGACACAAGCCGAGGCACACAACACCTGCCCCCTGGCTGGGAAGGGGCCAGATTCAGAGCACGCCGTGCTTTACAAGGGTGTTCACTACAGCAGAGGCACCACCTCTGCTCTTGGATGTGTTGCTTCCTACACATCCAAGCCAAAAGTCAAGCTTAGGAAGTATGCCAGGCTTTGCAAAAGCCTCAAGACTACGGACCAGACTTTCTTTGCTTCCGTAAATTGGTGCAGCTGAAGCAAAAGCTGATTTAAAGCAACCAACAATCTGCTCACTTATATTTCAGAGGTATCACAGAGTTTAAGAGAAGTTGGATGTAGCAAGGCCCTGGATCCCAAATGACCCGAGTTTAAGGGAACCTCTAAGCCAAACGTGTACTTTACAGTTAATCCCTGTCATCTTATAAGGTCAAACCAGAAGCTTGGCACTGAATGCCCCACTCCACCTCTAACAGAGCACAAACCCCGAGCCGTGTTTTTTTTTCTGGGAGAAATGCTAATGCAATACAGAGGGTGTGATTTAATTACACTCCCCTTCCAAAGCAAGGGCAAATTTACCAGCTCCCCTGTATGTGTTTATTTGAGCCCACATTCGAACCATCGCCTGCACACCGAGCTCTTCCAGCTTGAAAACCCCACAACGTGAAGTGCAACAAGCATCAGCTCCCCTGTATGTGTTTATTTGAGCACACATTCGAACCATCGCCTGCACACCAAGCTCTTCCAGCTTGAAAACCCCACAATGTGAAGTGCAACAAGCACATGTTAAAGTTTGAAATTGCAAGCGTGCAAAAGACAGGAAATTCCCAAATTAGGTTATCTACCACAAGTATAGCTCAGCCCGGGCAGTCAGTCTCATTGCACCACTCGACCCCACGTGCTGTTACAGGTTTATGCCTCAAAACACGGCCGGGCCGTAGCACTGCTGGGGACCTTTGCTAAGGACCATGCTGAATGTCGTGTGTTTCGAAGCTGGCCTTTAACATTGCACTAATCTGTTTGCACTTCAGGGTATAACGCTTCAGAGTTTCCTCCCAGCGCCGCCCGGGCCAGGAATAACCCGCAAGAGCTGCGGAAGGAGGGGACAGCCCCGCGGGCACCCGCCTGGCTGCGCTTCCCAAAGCCACTCGAGGTCCTCGAGCTCCATCGTGTGGGACCCGCCTGCTCCTACAAGCACAGCGGCTTGGGCTGCCGAATAAATCTCTGGGGACGGGGAAAAACCAAGCACGGTATCATTACTTCGAAAATATCGCTTATTGAAGGTATTGTATCCTTCCTATTTAGTGCTGGAGCACTGAAACGCGCAGCCCAGTGCTGTTTGCATGCGACAGGCACACCGTTTGACCCTTCTAGATTTGGTGTCATCCTGCAGCTCGGGTTAAAGGAGCCAGAAATCATCTCACATCTGAATTCTGGTTAACATCTCATTTCTTGCAGCCTTTCAGGCTGCAGCCTCTGTGCTAGCAACTTCTTTGTGCAGCATCTAACCTAGGGAGGCTCTTATCTCAGTGGCTCCCTGGGACGCTCTCAAAAAGCTCTCTTAAATACAACTATTTTAGCTCGGCTTCTGAATTTCTAGAAGCAGTTCTATACTAGGAAGAATGTTGCCATGACAATATGTATAGTTCTATTTCTAGAACATATAAAATAGGAAATTGGTAACTATATGTACCTATTTGTTACAAATTATTTCACTGTTATATACAGCATTTCTCATCCCTGTTTCATAGCAAGGGAGAACCTGCACACAAAACAGGCAAAGGAAAACAGGGAAAAACAAGCCCCAAAATAAACCTGATTATGCTGAGCAACAACCCAAATCCAGCATGGCTGCAGCATGAGGAGCAAGATCCCAAGCTGGGCTGCACAGGCAGCAGGCAGGGCACTGCTCTGCTCAGTGCAGGGGATTGGCAGGGTTACCTCTCGCCGTGGCCGTCTCCCCGTCCGCGTGAGCCATGCGCTGCATGGCCGTCGCTCCCACACAGACTGGCATGCTGACTCTCTGCCCCAGCACTGAGGATGACAGGTCCATCACCGACACGTCCCTGAGCACCCGAGGGTACAGCTTCCATCTGACACACAGATAAATGGAGAGAATGAAAAGCCTGTATCGTCAGGGTTATTTACAGCCCCTAACGGGCACTGAGAGCAGATTTTCCTGCTGTCAGGAGAAAGCTGGAAGGGAAGAAGCTGCACGAGGCACTGGAGAGGCAGAGTCGAGGCTGGAACAGAACTTGACTGAGTGACCCAGAGATTCAGCAGGACCCACAAAATGTACAAAACCAGCAGAGATTGGGAAAAGAGTGACTAAAGTCCTTGGAAGGTGAAAGGCAATAAGCCTTTGAACATTATCGTACAGTATCATCTGAAAGAAAGACAGGAGCTGCAAAAAATAAGGTTCACGGCATCAGCCTCCTTGAAAGCCTTGAGGTAGAACTGGATGATGGAGGGTGTGCAGGAACAGGAAAAGTCATCAGCCTCTCCCAGTTATTCCTTCTATGGACTAAGGAGCCAAAAGACATGGGAATTTTGGATAAAACTCACCTGGCCAGAGTGCTCAGCCCTCTCTGTCCCTGTGCTACAGGTCTCTCCAGTGAGACTATGCAGAAACAAGCTGCCCTGTGGGGAGCAGGTGGGCAGGAGGCTGCCCTGAGCTCAGGGCAGGTAGAAATCCACTGCACAGCATCTCTGCTGGCACAGGGACAAAACCACTTGGCTTGGAGAGGTCCCATCCCCAGCAGTCACTGGCCACTCTGACTACAGCTCCAGCCCCAGGCACAGCCCCTTGTACCGCAGGGACTCCAGACTTCCAGGAAAAGGCCAAATGCAGCCACTGTAATTTGGTGCAGGAAAAGACCGAGTAGCACAACTGCTTTCCCAACAGGGCAAATTATGGGCTAGTCCCTGAATGATGTGGCCCAGCATCTGCTCAACCACTGCCAACCTGGCCTTGCCTTCTGTCCACCAGAAACCACATCAGCCTAGAGCCAGGATTGTCCACTGGGGTCTTCAGCCTGGGTACAAACAGAAGGTGACTCCAAAACAGAGCAACTTAAACCAAACTTGATCTGAAATTACAATTTATTGTGGTCAAGCTGGACACCACACTCTTGCACACAGAGGAATTGATCTTTTTTCTTCTCTGCACAGCAGCAGCACAACAATACCGTTGTTCCTCACATGGTGGGGTCAACTAGATGAGACCACAGCATCCAAACCTTTATTAGTAGGGTTGTGTTCCTGGGGGTACCTGTGAAATTGGGCCTTTTCTGGCCATGCAGGTGATGCTGCAGCACAGCCACTGTTGCTGCAGGCCACAAGAGGGGGCGCAGCAGCAGGGGCTGCCTCTCCACACATCAGCCTGGCACCAAGGCACCGCTCCCTCCGAGGGGATTCTGATGGCTACGGAATTCTCATCACAGAAAGTAATTAAAGCTTAAGCTCTGGTACCACTGAACCCGACCACCTGCTCAGTACTAACATACCCGAAACTGATAATATTAATTAGCAGAGAGACAGCAGCTAGAGGCACTGTAATGCTCAGACTGTGCTCTGACAGAAAGCAGTGATCAGCTTGACTTTGTATATTAAGCTGACAGGTCAGGAAAAAAAAGACAACAACAAACCGATCTCTTAATATCTCTTAATTTTATAGAAAGATCAAGACATTTCCATAAGAAGCCTGGGACAGAGCCAGGAGGAGACCCAAGTTTCTGAAGGCCTGGAGCCCAGGGCCATGCCAGCACTCCAGGAAGTGCTCCCCAGGGAGGAGAAGGATGGTTATGATGCTTGGAAGGAGCTGTGGGAGTCAGCCGTGTTATTCAAAGCCAAGACACACACTGCAAGTACCTCTCCTCAGGCTTGTTTTCATGCAATTGTATCAGTTTGTTATTTTTCAGGGGAGGATGGGCTGAGGGTGGGACAAAGAAAACATGACTTTTTCTCCAGCTTTCTTCCTAATTCTCATTCCAAAGGCTTACTCGCAGCTCTGAGACATCTCTTCCCAGCAAATAAACATAAAACAAAAATCCACTAACAACTTTCCTCATTTTAACAGTCAAATTCAAAAGCATAAGGATGTGAATATTGCCCTCTTAACCAGCCTTCTAGTTTCTCTGCTGTCCCAAACTTGTCATATTCTTACACAGTGCAAGCCACTGCTATCTCAAAGCACGTGCGTGAGGGTCAGTCCTGAAGTACCAACACTTCCACAGTGCTTTCAGCTCAGAAAAGACACAGAAAGAGCAAATATCCTCCCAACAGTATACACAAGAAAAATGATGCTGTTTCAAGCAGCAATAAACAGCCTCTTTTCCCCTTACCTTTATGTACCAACAAATTACTCTGTCCATGAGTTTTCTGAGGTCCTTGAGCTCATAAGCCCCAGATTTTAAATGTAAATGTCTCTTCCAATGCTTTCTGTGGCTTCTCTTCCCTTTGCACCTTATCAGGTTGCATCCTCTCAACTTATTCCAACTCAATACTCCTAAGTGAGAATTTACTGGGTCCCACAAAAAAAAACACCCAAAAAGGGAAGACTGCCTTAGTATTATACTCTCTAAATAAACCCTGATCTTGCTTTGGAAACACGGGCATTTTCAGCTGGGGCTTTGCTGGACACTTGAAGTGAGGCATTTTCTGGAAATGCCCTTAACAGCAGCAAGCAAAACCCAAGAGCTACATGTCCCACTAACCAGAGCAGGCATTCACTAGGCTGTCACACAACCTCTGCTTCCTCCAAGTCCTGGAGTGAAAACACTCCCTGGATATTTTGTAAAAAAACTCGCCTATTTTTTAAATTCATCTTCTCCTCACCCACACTTTTTTCCAGCCAAGTCCACAACTCGTGTGCTGCTATCAGCAACTGTGAGGACATCTTTCCTCCTAGCTGGAAGCAGGAGATGCTGCAGTGAGCACTCCTGATTTAGGCAACTTCAGCTGTTTTGCAAGAAGGACGAAAGGCAAGAAGCAGGGATTAGTGTTTGATTTTTTTTTCTTTCCTTTTCCCTCCACACTCAAAAATCTCAGAATGTAGATCATCTTGCAGGCAGAAGGAAGCACTCACCACTGCTTTCCCAACTTACTTTCAGCTGTCAAAAATGCTGAAATTTTCAAACTGAAACATTTTGAAGCAGCTCTTCTTGTTTCCTTTCTGAGCTGTTACCAAATAACCATTTTGTGCTGCACCACAAGCACACTGCTCAGGCACAGGCTCCATCCCAACTCCAACCCCCTTTGCTGCCTGAATCTCCCCCACAGCTCCACTTCCCCTCAGCAAGGGATGGGTGCTAGTGCTGTGCAAGGCTTGGAAACAGCTGCTTTTCTTGAGGAAAACTGGTTTTTCTCTCCCAAGGTGTCTTGCCATCCACACGGCGACTTGTTTTGCAGCACTCTGTGAATCTCAGATGAAAAATATCACAGAAATGTAACCAACTTATTATTACAAGCATTCCTTTTCTTTCTTTCCTCCTACAACTTCACATACTTGTTTGACCCCAAGCGTATTCTCAGCCTTGCTTTTTCAACCAATACTTGAATTATTTACATGCCCAGGCAATTTAACACCCTGGATACCTAGCTAAAAGATGGCATGTTTGCAGAAAACACACATCAGTTCTGTCACTGGTAAGTGACTGCTGTTCCTCATGCACACCAACAAAACTCATCTTCTCCAAGGGCCACCAGGGAGTCAGTGGCAGGACGTGTCACAGCAGATTAGCAGAAACATGTTCCCACACATGCATGTCCCCCTCATTAAAGTGCCAAAAGAGGAGATTTCAGATTGATTTCTTGCATACCATCAGGCTAAAGACATCCCGACCTTGTCAAAAAATCTGCTCTCCATTCAGGCCCCTTAGCTCCTTGGCAACTTGAGGAGTTCAGCCACTAGACAGCACAGTGTGGGAAGGGACAGAGAGCAAAGGCAAGGTGGGTGCAGTCAGACCCCACAGGGGGCAATGTATGCTCTGATGTCCCAGATCATCTCTCTGGCCTTAAGGACTCACTTAGCTCAGTGCCATCTCCACATCAGTTCAAAACTATGAATAAATCATACTTATCTACCCTTAGCAGGAACACACTGATGTTGATCTGTAAGTTCTGGTTCTTCCCTCAGTCCTGGATCAGGAAGCTGGAGGAGATTCACTGTACCTGTTTAACTCACCTTAAACACTGGCCTTTTGGGGACATTTTATATCTAGTATCTATATTGCAGGAGTTCAAGCCCCTGTGCTGTCAGAAGGCCAGGACATTCATTTTGTAACCTAACAGGTATGGATTGCACTGCTCCAAAAACTGCATTGGCCACTCCAAAAGTATTCCAGCAACCAGAAAAAAAACTACCATTCACTTGCTAAACCAATCTTTAAAAATAATCTATTTCTCCATAAATGAAGCTATTGGGTTGAAAAAAAAAGGAGCTCCCAGACAAACCAAACACTCATTTTTCTTCAAAATACAATCCATCCCAGCTGTCTCACTCACCCAAATAATCCTGCACCACAAAGGTGTGGGCTAACAATTCATGCCTACAGTTCAGTTTCACACTTTCTTTTCTTCCACTGAAACAAACATTTACACATGTATATATAACTATTTAAAACTGTTTTTAATCAGCTTCTTACCGTGGAAATCAACAGGAGCTCTCTGGCCATGGGAAATGAAGCTGATCATACTTGGTTTGGGTTTTGGTTGTTTGATTTTGTTTTTCCCCACAAAATCATTGCTTGTGACCCACGGGTGTAAAGTCCATCTTACTTTATATTTACCCACAAGCTGCACTCAGGAATGGGGAGAAAAACCAATAACATGCTCAGAGACACACAAGGACTATGGGACAGTCCTGCATCCTTAACCATTGGGCCATGCTTCTCCCAACAGCATTGAAGGAGAAGACTGATTTTAAAAGTTCCTTGTGTAAAATGGGTCTTGTAAACCAAAATCCTGTGAGATCTCTATATTTGGGTTCTACCTTTCCTAGATCTATTGCCAGGAAGCCACTGCAAACAGTCTGTTGTCCCTCAGCAGCTGCAGCTGGGGACCACTGCAGCTATCAAGATGGAGCCCTATGCTCAACATGCTTCCAGAAAGCTTCAGCAGCCCATTAAAGGGACTCATCTTTGCAGAGAGGGAGGCCTGTACAGCTGCAGGCAGCAGGAGCACTCTGCTTACTGGAAATACTGCAGTGTGCAAATTAGACAGGCACAAGAAGGCACTGGAAAGGTTGAGAATTGTTTCAGTGCTACACAAGAGCTGCATTTAACTCTGACCACCATCACTATCATCTCCCTCTCGTCAGAGGGATAAAGAAGCACACTTGCTCATGAAGCTGCCAGTCCCCATCTCCATGCTCCAGCCTGCATCCTCCCTTCCTGCAGGCACAGCTGCACTTGGGCTGCGACACCCATCCCACAGAAGAGCTGTGCTGCAGGGCAGAGAGCAGGGCACCAGTCTGCCCAGGGGAGCTGGGCTGCAGGCTCTGCTCCCAGCTCTCCAGCTCTCCTGCTGGGTGACCAAGGCATCGCTGCACTTGGCTGTGCTTTGGTGGACATCCAGAGAGGCAGGCGTAGGGCAATGGAGAGGTAACAAGCAAAGCTTTCACTTCAGCATTTCTGCCCCAGGACCTCCCTCTGGCTGTCAGCAAGTTCTGTTGTTTGGTGACTTAATAAACACCCTTCTCAAGTCTTCTAGAGTTTATTAACTGCCCTTTCAGAGGGCATTTAAATGGGCTAAAGCTACTGCAGAAATTAGATCTTGTTCTCTTGAAATATAGAAAGTGAGGGGGAGCAAAGACAAATACAGCTTCCATCCTCTTCACACCTTCACTTCTGAGCAGGAACCCAGCATCACAGACCTTTTAGCCACATCAGGACCTGGTAACTTTAGCTTAGTCTGTGTTTTAAAAACTGCTGTGTAAGACACTGCTAATTAACATCTCCTCCAGTTCCGGGCTGCCTGCAAGCTCTGCAGTTCTGAATGCCTAAAACAGGAGGCTTTATTGAAAGTGATAGAAGATGACAGAAAAGAGGAGGTCAGTCTGAACCCCACAAGTGACCAGCACAATATGAGGAGGTCCTCTCATCAGAGGAATCTGCCCCTGCAGTGGGGAACAGCTTCAGAGCAGAGCTGCTCTTATCTTACAACCAGCACAAAGCTCTGCTAACACCAAAACAGCAAGTTGACATACCCAGCTTTTTATTAGCCTGCCTCTGGGCAGATTATATCCAACTTGTGTTTAATCAGGATGAGCTGTAGCTCTTAGCAGTAAAAAGTTCTCTGTTTCTATGGTTTATTGCCTCTGAGCACTTCCTTTGAGTGTCCTTTCTTTAACATCTCATTTCAGTTCTATGAGGGCAAATAGCATCGTAGCATCTGGAAGCAGTAAAAATAAAAATAAATAAATCAGATGAGCACCACTACACCCCTCCTGCTCCTATTTACTCCTCAGAGCCAGAGCAGTCCTTTGGCTTGTGTTTGAGCAGCCCAAATTCCAAGATTTCCAGTCTGTGACAGGGGCTTCTGCATGGAGCTGAGGTCTGGAGTAAGTGGTCACTGTGGAAGTTAGTTTTTTTTTTTCCTCCTCTTGACATTATAAAGCTTTTCTACGTGTCCCTAAAATTAAGGCTCTGAGCTGATTTCTGCAATATGACCTTTGATTCCAAGATTTCCAGTCTGTGACAGGGGCTTCTGCATGGAGCTGAGGTCTGGAGTAAGTGGTCACAGTGGAGGTTAGCTTTTTTTTCCTCCACTTGACATGATGAAGCTTTTAATGTGTCCCTAAAATTAAGGTTCTGAGCTGATTTCTGGAATCTGACCTTTGAGACCCACTAAATGAATTCCCACTGAGCTTCCTGCAGCCTTAAAGTTGTGGGGGGCTTCCCACCGAATTGCTCATAGCCTGTGGAGAGGCAGCTGGCCCAGCCAGTACTGCTGCACGACAGCAGGAAGGCAAAGTGGGGAGGGAGAAAGACTGAAGATAAATTGGAAAAATCTTGTTTTGGTTTGTTAGACTCAGAGGGATTAAAGGCAAAGCCCTTAGAGATCAGCAGAGACAAGTGCAGGGGGTTAAGGGTCTGCACCAGCACAGCACTGGAAGGCAAGAGGAGCCCACAGCTGGGCGCAGGCAGGCTGAGGCCACCAGTCTCCAGCTGCCTTCTCCCTCTGCAGCACGCAGGCTGATGCTCCAAGGGCAGAGCAGCAGGGCACAGGGAACCAGCTGACTTGATGTGAGTTTTGACAGTCTTCCATCAAACCCCACAGCAAATGCTGACTGACTTTGTGTTGACCTTGGACCTGAGAGACAACGGGTGATCTAAGTCCAGGCTTTGACAACAGATCAGGAGGCCAGTCCAAGTCAAAGCTGGTTTTTAATGGTTTCCATCACTTACAGTATTTCCTGGTGAAGTTGGAAAGTTGCTTTAGTGGTGACCTCTAAGTGCTGTGTTAATGGTTGGACTTGATCTTAATGGTCTCTTCCAACCAAAACAGTTCTATGATTCTGTAACTAATTTGGTTTAGGAAGAAGAAACAAAAGGCAAAACTCAGGACCCCATCACAAGAATCCCCCGCCAGCATTACAGCCCAAAATGCAGAAGGGACAGTTCCAGCAAAAGGACACTTTAGAGGATTTATTTTAACAAGACAAACAAAATACAGGTAAAGCTAAAAAGATGCCGATGGATTGCAGGGACTGTGTTTTTGATAGAAAATGTGAAGTGGAGGAGTGAGAAGGGAGAGGGAGTTGTTCTGAGAGGAGATTATGAAAATCTTTTTGCTAAAAAGAAAGTTCTGGGAAAATTGAGTTTTGTTCACAAAGAAAAAAAATCTAATATCACAGTACATCTACTAATAAAGCAGAATTTACACCCCCTGCCTCCCACCTCAGCCTTAAATAATCCTCCTACCTTGAAAACGCTGCTACGTTATCTGCTAGAGTTTCCTGGTCATCTGCTCCGGATCGGTAATAGTCATACACTGATTTGGGGAGAAATTTTTTAGCATAATCTTCAAAATCAGCAATGCAAACTGGTTTTCCAGACATGTTTGCTGGTCTCAAAGGGATAGTTTATTTCTCCTCCTCTCTCTTTAAAGCTCTGTATTTTTGTCTGTAAATCATTAATACGGGACCTTATCAGGACTCAACTTACCTACATAACAAAAAACCCTCACCAACGTTGGACTTCCCAGCTCACAGTCACACTGGACTTCAGCACCGTGTTGTTTCATGTGGTCAAGGCCAACTTAGAACATAATGGAATAAAACGTGGCAAAGGAAGAAATATGTTGGTGCAGCACAACTTACACCTGCAACAACAGGAATGCACAGTCTCTCGTGGGTGTCTTTATCATCCAAAAAATCCAGGAGACTGAAACAAGAAAGATACTCTTCATGCACAAAACACAAGACCTGGGTTTAGATTGTGTATCAAAAGCAGGTCCCAGCCTGGACATTTAGGACAACACCTGACAAGTGAGTTTCCAGTTATTTCCATTAAAGTCCTGGATATGAAGTCAAGTCACAGGGACCCATCTGCCAGGCAGCTTGGGCATCTAATAGAGGCAAATGGCTCCTGATCTTAAAGTAATTCCACCTCCAAAACCCAGAGAGCTCCAGTTATTAAAACATTACCAGATCAGATGCACTGACCAGCTGGAAATAAAATCAGCTTATTAAAGAGACGACACTCATCCAAAGTGTTACAGGCTCAGTTAAGATGTCTTGATTGAATCTTGACTTATAATTTAACAAATACTCCATACACCTGTTGCAAGTGATGTGTATTTGTTTGACAGGGAAAACTCCCAAGCATGTCATGTGTGCATATAATTCAGTTTTCCAGCTGGGCACGTTTGAATTAATGATGCCATTTTCTTAGCACTACATTTTGGGGAGAAGAGAGAAATCAACACCTGGATTGGAAACAAATCCCCAAGGCACAGTGCACGATGTGGCAGCTTTGCAGCATGCAGAGGAGCCAAGCAGCAGGCATGGCTCTCACTGCTCCTCTCCCTCTGGTCCAAGCAAACCAGAGAGCCCGTGTTTTGCTCTCTGGTTTATAAGTAACCGTGAGAAACAGTATTCTGCAAAGAGCAGAGAAAAATGTTTAAGATCCAGAGGAGATTGTCCAATGTCTTTGGAGGGCTGTCTCCAGGGCCAAGGCAGGAGGGACGGTGTCAGCTGCAAGCTCAGTCTCAGGAATCATTTACAGGCAATGATGGTGCTGAGAGATTTGCAGCTATTTCTTTAACTGCTTTACCAGATGAGGGCATCTCAGATGAAGCCGTGCAGGGTGTGCAGGGGATCATTCCTCCAGCCAGTCACAATATTCATGGGAGGAAACCCTGGAAATGAATATCAATGTACATGCAGCCACACTGTGAGACTCTATCACACATCTGTGTCAGATGGGATTGAAATGCAAGCTGGCTGAACATTGACATTTCTCTGTGCTCCCAGCACAAAACTGGGCACACGTCTGCTTTCATTTACTTCAATTTGCATAGCCTGTGCTAAAAACAGGTATTTCTCCTAGAGCCAGAGACAGGAAGCATTGCACAACAGCTAAACATTCCAATATGTGCAGCTGGCTTCAACCTTAATGAATTCAAAAGCTTTTTATATTGGAAAGTTGCACAGAAGTTCTGAAGGTAACAATGCTGTTTCACCACTGGTCTCCTCCTCACCCCCTTTTACGATGTCTATATTCACTTAAAAAAAGGTTAAGCTCTTCAGAACACTTCCCACCTTGACCTTTCTCTCTCTCCACTTACATTTTCATTTGCCACATGCACACAGTATCAGGGATTTAATTTACTGGTCACTACTTGTCACTTGGACTAAAAGTTCCTCTTGCCTTCCCTCTTGTGATGTTTCTCACGTCTCCCTGTGCAGATAACCCCCATGTGCCAACCACACAGCTGGGGTCACTGACTTCCTGCTGCTGCCCAGCCAACACGTCCTGTGAAGCTCCACAGACCTCAGGACTTCACCAGGAGCTGGAGGCTCTTCCACTCCAGCAAGACCTTTCCCACTGCTGCCAAATTTATGAGCCGGGGTGTGGTGGAAGGTGCCAACAGCAGCACAGAGGACACAAAACTAAGCTCAATAAGTTTAATCTGCTGCTGAACTAGGACTGCTTGGCCTCTTATGGGTGTAAAGACCTCAGGGGAGCACAGCCCATGTCTGTCCACTGACTTACAGACCAGCTCTGACACAGCTTCCCTCCATGTAATTGGCTCCTCATTTTAATGACTCTCTGGATGAGAGGTTTCCTCTGGCTGCTTAATGAGACATCAGCTGTCTGAACCTTAACCTTGAAGCAGAACAGCCGCAGCCGAGTTAACGGCAAAGGCTTTGCCCAGGCAGCCACAGCAAACCTCACTGCTAGAGTCAACGTGGGACTTAATTGAAACTTAGAGATGCAATTAGGGCAGAGGGGAAAAAATAAAAACCAGCCCCCAAGATGATGAGTGTAGCCTTAACATCCTCTCCACATCTGCTGCTTCTCACTGGTCCCTTGGCAGGTCACTGGAGAACGACCACCTGGGAACAGTGTCACGTAACCAGAGCTGGGCTGAACCAGGCTCTGCAAGGGAAGATCTGCACCTCAGTTCAGAGAGGGGTAGTGCAAATTCCAGAAGAAAAACCCCACAGTGGGTTATTAAGCAGAGATGTTCCTTCTGCCTTACAAAGTGCTCTGATCAGAAGTCAAAAGAGCATTTTGAAAAGCCTCTCCACATGCTTGCCCTTCCACAGGTTATGTGCTGGAGAGAGAGGCGGCCACACAGGGCTTGGGTCTGACCCACTGCAGGATCAGAGGCAATGCCACAGCCCCCTGCCAACAGGCAACAGCCTCCACAGGTGGAGCTGGGATCATCTCACTGCAGTGAGCTGCAGCAAAAATTAACTGCAGAAGGTAACTGCAGTATATAATTAAACATTTCAATGTCCTACTGATTACCTATTTCTCAAGGCTGCTGTGCAAAGCTGTTTTATCAAGTAACTTGCTTATATGAGTAAATGATTATTTTGACTTTCAGATTCCCCAAGAACATTTGTGAATTTCTCCAAATAAAGTCAGCAAGCATCTATTGCCAACTGTGCAGTGTTTTCAGCCAGTATCTCACATCAATCAGAGCTGAATCAATCTACTGCAGTCCCCCCAAGCCAGTCAAGAGAATCAACAGAAACTATTAGTGGCTCTCTCTTTTTTCAGCAGCAATTTGTGACTTCAGAGTGAAACCAAGTCAAGCCAAAGGACCTGTTGCAGAGATGAGGACAGTTTCTTGGCAGTTCAGCAGGGAGCAGGTGGCCCTAAAAAAACCCTGAACATCTGTTTTGGGAAGTCTGAGGGCCACTGGGGTGGAGGGGCACTAAAGAACCGAACAGAGGCAGGATCTGGATGACTTGAGTACAATGAGAACAACTGAGGGGAGATCTACAGAGGTTCTCGGGGCCATTTTTGGCCCCAAGCCACACAGTGATAACCAGACTCAAAGTGCTTTTGTCAAGCATGATCTTCTCATGTCCTTCATGCAAGACTGATGGTCAAACACTCCAGCCAGCACCATTCCTGCACCCCCTGCGTGAGGGCTCCTGGCAGAGCCTGTGGCCAGATGACTGGCAGTGCCAATGTTCATCTTAGTAGTATTCAATTAACAGATTTAAAAGTTTAAAGTACTAGCAGGGCCTGAGAAATTCTAATGAGCCAAGAAAAACAGCCTTTCCATATAACAATTAAAATATTTGATTACTAAATTCCCTGTATGTTTAAGTAAGTTTCCCCTTTCTCCTCAGTAAAGACAAAGTGAAAGTAGAGGACAGAGTTCTTAAACTGCATTTATACTGGGAAGAAAATTAAGATATTGGGTTAAATGTAGTCACCACTGTCTTTATTAAAACAAAACACAACACTTCCCCCCTACCCCACAGCTGAAGGGAGTTACCACCCATCCAATTCAAAACTCCAAGGTTAGAAGCTTTTCTACAGTTCTAGTACAGCCTTCAGAGTTATCTTTATATTTCCTCTATAAAAATAGAGCTTGTTTGTCTGATTGCTTCAACAAAGTCATTTTCAAAACCCAAACACTTTGTCTGTAGTATTCCACCTGCCTGTTTTCATGGGGGAATTTCATATTCTCACATAGAACAAAAAGCAGCTGATGAAATAGTAAAACAAAATGCTCACAAGGGCTTCGTTTGATACCATTCCCCCTTCAGCTTTCCATCAAGAAATAAGTGCAATGGAAAAGAAAACCCAAGGGAACGGGAGGTCACCCAACCCAGGAGGTAGTTCTGGAAGCTCACCTGGAGAGGGAATCTGTGTACTGGATCCTGGGTGGATTCCTCAGTGAGGAGGGAAAAATAACATGAAGGTACTGAGGTGAAGCCCTCAATGGTTCAGAGTTATGTTCTTTGAGAGTTAGAGTTTAAGGAATCATCACAAGTCACAACCTCTATTATTAATTTCAAGATTCAGATTAAAAAAAAACCTTTTGTAATGACACAGATGAGCCATCTACACACTGAGAAAATGAAAACTAACTACAAGAAGATCATAAATACACAATTTATATGGAATTTCAGTAAAAGTAGCCATAGTATAAATGTGCAGTGCTTCCAGAGGAGCCAGTGCTGTACATTTCCCTGCAGAACAGCCAGATGACAGGTGTTGCCTGCCACGGGTGCAGCATACTCAGAGTGTTCCAAGAGGTGTGTGCAAGCTCCACACAGGTCTCGAGGACAGGAGTTGTGACAGGCTGTACCTGCTTCCAGCCTCCTTAAACACATCCCACGGGATTCTCTGCATGACTTGCCTTCAGGCACTCCCATTCAGATCCATCAGCAACTGTTTTTCAGAGTGGTGTGTGAAATTTAAATTGGTTTGCAAACACCAAGTAATTTCTGACACAGTTTACAAGCCTTACAGCCCTATCCTTAAAACATCTTCAAGTGTTAGCAGCCACTTCTCCCAGGGCATTTTTCCTATGCTGAGGTTGCAAGAACAAGTTCCATTTTTTGACATTAATCCTAACAGAACACTCAAGATTGCATGAAAGGTCAATACTGGCTTGTTTTTTTTCAATACACCAACATCAATACTACTGTAACAGTCTAATCAGCACTGTGACTCACATGACTCAATGAAAATGTGCTGTAGTGAAAAAAAAACCCTGATTCTGTGAAGGAAATTAACATGCCACCTGGACTGCACAGCTAGTGGCCTTTGTTAAACACAGATTTAGCCCTGACAGTCTCTGCTGCTTGTTGCTTGCCAGCTACACACAAGTCCAAGTTGAGTATTTCCAATATCACGCTACAATATTTCCCCTACAAATGTAAAGCTAAGTTGGATCTATCAATGCTTGTATAGCACCTGCTTTTCTAAAGTCTTAATCCTAATTTAGTGATTGTCCTAATGAGATACTCAAACACACCCAATACAGTCAAACCCAAGCTAGCATCAATATTCCCTCCAGTGTTAATGAAAGCACAGGAGCAATGCTATACATACTAGTTTGAAGATTCCTTAGAAGCCCATTGTAGCTCAGTGCAGATTCACAAGACAGGTCTATGAAGAGGTGAAGCTGTCACCTGCTGCCTGCTTACTCCAGCCCAGCATCACAGGTGGTCTCACAGGCAGGTCTCTCAGGATGGAAAAGACTTAACATCTTCATTTGAAATAATCCAAACTTAAAAGGGACATGGAAAAACAGAGGAAATATAAACAGAGACTTACACACAGAGGAGCTTCTGATCTTTCTCAGAGCATCTCACAAACCATGTGCCTTGTAGGAAAAGTGCCATTTGTGGCTTGTGCTTTTATTTTTTAAATTCAAAGACACCACAATGAAACAGCTCCTGGGAGTACACCTTATTTGTCTAAACATCCAAAAAGCCCAAACATCTCATCTTGAGCACTGAAAAGAGGTACACAACTTTTTAATACTTCGTATTCCCAACAGCACACAACAGAGCCACTGTGAGGTGTAAGGATGTTCTGTATCTTTTGAAGTTAAAGCCTCCTCAAACAGCTGAAGAAGGTACTAGACAGCTCCATGATATCACTGAAGTGAAGAGAAATGTAATCAAAATTGAATATTGGCATGCTCCCTGCTACACACTGATTATCCCAAGACCCTAGGCAGTATAAAATACCCTCTTTGGTACACAAACAAAGTCATTGCTGCCCTCAATCTGTGCTGGAGACAGTCCCACAGATTTTTCCATGTCTGGCAGTTTTGGATCCATGACCAAGGGGATATGTCTATCCCAATCTTCTGCCAGTTCATCTAACTCTGACTACACACAGACTTGTCCCACGCAACATGGTGAAATCCTTGTTACTCAGATCCTTACAAGCTCCTGCTGCACAGATAATAAAAAAGCCAATGCACAATGGAAGCAACAAATCCATATTCTGAGCTTTTAGGTGCATGGTTCTTCCCTTTAGACTATGTTGCCCACAAAATTTTCTTAATTTTTGGAAATAAAAGCTGGGCTTGAATTTGGGGTTGTTTGGGAGAGGGGATTTGTTTGTTTTTTAAAAAAATAGAGCTGCCATGTACCTCAACTGCTACTGAGTTCTGCTGTCTGTGAGCTTCTACAATGGCTGTTACATGGGGCAACACCCAAATAACACAAGACAAACTCCCCTCATCATAGTGCAACGTATAATCCACTGTATATTTCTCACAGGTGAAAGCCTGTTTACATGTGTCCAGGATATGCCATCCAAGCTCCAGACTTAAGAAAATTCATGTCTGACATATGCAGTGTCATTTTGTCCTTCACACAGTTCCAACAGACAAATGCAAAGTTTCTAGCATGGAGGTCCAAGACACAAGGTGTGACAGGACACAGACAGGAACAGTTCATTTTTCTTAGGAAATATGCTCTCTGAGCATGTCACAAAACCAAACTTCCAACACAAATTGACCCTATTAATGTCAGTCTCAAAGGAAACCAGCATTTTGCACTTGCAACTTGTCTCTTCTAATGAGAGAGAATTTCATCTCTGATTACTCTCAGCACAAGATGAAATCCATGCATGTTAGCAAGGTTTACGCAATAGATACATACAAAAATCAAGATTAAGACATCTTATGCACATGATCACACCAACAAAATAGGAACATACATGATCTCACTGTAGGTATTCCTTACTAAGAAAATGTCTTCTCTTCTAACCCAAAGGAGGGAAATACTGAGATCCTTAATGCCTGAGGTCTTCTAACCATACCTAATGCTGTCTACCTGTCCAGCCACTTTCACTTTGCACAGTTCAAGAGGCACACGTTTATCTCTATACATGTAGAAAACCAAAAGCTTCTCCCTACCACCCACCTGTGCCTCTCTCTTTTCTTAACATAATTCCAGTGACAAAACCCAGAAGAGCTATCACAGGGAAAACCTAAAGGGCCTCTACAGTTGCTATTACTAAAGCAGTCTGAGCTCTGCCAGAAGCATTCTGAGTTGGACATGGCAGGACTGTGCTGCATGTGACAAGCCTGTGCTGACAAGAAGTAGACAGCTTCCTGACTGCAAAGTGAGGACTTCTTGCTACAGTCTCTTGAAGGGGAGAGGAAAAAGAAATAAAGTCACGCTTTGGCAAAAGTCCCCCCTGACCAAAACCATTTCATTTAATCCTTTGAAAAGTTCAAACACATTTTACACATTTAGCTGCCACTCCTCCTCGGCCTGAGGTTTTCAGTTACTCAAACTGAAGTGAAAAGAACTCAGCTGACAAGCCTAAGCTGTGCAGCATGCCTCCAAATTACCAAAAACTGAAAAATCTGGGGGTGTACCCTAAGATACATTTTCAAAACAAACATTAATAAAAATGAAAGGTGCTTCAGTTGAAAGTGATAAAAATAAACCCATTGTACACAACACTTTTAACAGAAGACTAGTAAGGTGCCTTCTTTGACTACTGTACCACTTGTCTGGTGCTTCTGTTGCCTTTGGGAACAATAAATATTCAGAGTGAAGTCACAGTCCCACAAAGCTACAGTAAAGGGTTAAAAATCTTGATCTTGCTCAGGTCAGACTTGAAGGGACCCAAGAACAGGTAATCATTTTACAGCTGGTGATCCGAGACAGTTCCACCCCTCCTCTCCTGGAAGGCTTCAAACAGACACAACACACTTATTTTGATTGTCATGGCTAAAGTTATACATAACACAGCGCACGTGCTTAGGAAACAAAGTGAGCATGTATTAGCCTAAAAAAGAGAAGCCTGCTGACAGAGCAGAGGTTTTGCGTAAACAAACGACAAATCAAGTGTAAGCTTCAGCTCCAGACCCAGGGTCTGACACTTCTTTGGTCCAAGTGTAGAAAATACACCTCTGAAAAAACCCTATAGTCCGTTATCAGCCACCTGACTTTTACGGTGTCTCACTGAGCTCTCAGTCTCTGATTCAGCTGAAGGTTTTCCACTCGGGGCTTCTGTTTCTTCTTCTTCTTCTTCTTCTTCTCCTGATTCTCTGTCGAGCTCCAAGTCCTCCTCTGAGTCACCAGCACTCGAGTTTGCTGCATCTTCCCCTTCAGAGGCATCCTTCACGTCGGCAGTCTCGTCCGCCTCGTCTGCAGAAAGCTCTGCAGCCTCTCCTAGCTCTTCCAAGGCTGCATCCTCCACGTCAGCCTTGGTGATGGCTTCCTCTAGGCAAAACAAGAGTTAAACACTGAGGTTAGGCTGACCCTCAGCACAGTGTCTCTCAAAGCACTCGCCCCCTTGAAGAGGTGTACGACGCCTGTGAGCTCTGGCAGGTGAGAGCTGCTGCTGCGCCAGCCAGCTGGGCACTGCTGCACAGCAAGCACAGCTGCCTCCTTCTCATAGTGATGCACAGGAAGGGGTGTGAAGAGTGTAACTGTGCACACTTCTGAGTTCTAGATTTATCTAAAGTCTTATTGGCAAGTATCACAGATGCATCCTCAGCAGCAAAGCCAAATACACATAAATGTACACAATTTAAAAGTATGTATTTTTGTTACAGTTAAGTTTTGATGCCACTTAATAGCACAAACGTCCCAAGAGGCATTCTGGAGCTCAGCACACACGTGCTGCTGGCAAGAGACTTTATTCTGTGTGCAAGTTTTCACCTCCCATGTTCACAGGGAGCAGAATACTATTGAGGAAAATTCCCACTAAGATTCAGTAACATGTATGTTTTCTTCTTTTATCTGAAGGAGATGGAACACCTTCCCCCAACTCCACACCTGCAGTCTCTAAATTTGACTTCCCTCCATCACCTCCTTTCCCCAACCACAAGTTACATGGAGAATTTTACAAGTTCAGAATGTAGCATCTCCTAAAGCAATATAGCAATAAAAAGAGTGGGTACTGGGATGCTGAAGTGTCCTGCTAAAGCAAATTCCTTTCTCTAGTTAAGCACCAGGTCCAGCCAACATGCACCTGCACGAAACACACAAACCTCAGCATCTTTCTCTGAGACTTGCTCATTTTGAATGCATTTAGCCTCTTCTCAGCTGTGGAAGCTAGAACAAACCACTGGTTTAGGAGTGGGTTTTTTTGGTCTGCTTTGCTCTCCCTCCAGGTGGATGCTTTGACATTCAAAGAATCATAGAATTCATCTTTTAGAGCCCAACACATCAATTTCTGTCAGTGTGATTAAAATGCATACCTGGATTATTGATTCACATCTAACTTCCTGACAGTGCATTGCTCTCCCTCCCACAAGTTTACATTTAAACCTGCAGTATCTCATCCACATCAGAGTTCTTACCAGATGCTTCAGGACTATAACTGGACTTGGGTGGGCAAAGGCAGTCTGAAATCAAAACCAGTATCTGTGTGAAGGAAAAAAAAAAGGCATTAATTAGCAAATCATCCCAGCAGCCCCTCCACTGTTAAGTATTTACCTATCCTTTTAGGAAGCTGCATAGGAAAATTCAGAAAATCATATCATATTGCTCAGAGATAAATGCTAAATAAAAACACATCAGAAAAGTGTGTTCTCAGTGTATACCAATCAACACTCTCCACTTTCTACTACAAGTTTTCTGCCTCCCACCTCCTTGAAGTTATTGAATACTGAAACTGCTTGCAGCTTAAGAACAGAGGCCCAGAACACAGCTGAGGATTTTTATTTCTCTGAAACTCAAGAAACAACCTTGGTCCAAGATTTCCTGTACTTTGGGATGTTACTCCAGTCCTACCCCACCTCCCCAATACACAGTGTGTGCTTCCACTTTTTGTGCTTGTTATTTAAAGCAACCTAGTGCACAACACATACAATCAAAGAAGATGTTTGTGCCTTATTGGCACACAGTAAGAATCATGCAAAAGAAAGAGGCAGATGATACCATGTTAAAGAAATACATCTCCATCATGGAGAAGCTTTTTAGAAAAAGCTGAGAGATTAACTTTACATTTTTTTCCAGCTTTTACAGTACTTTGGTGGTGGTGGCTTTTTTTAGTTTAGTGAAGGAGGAAGAAGGAAGGGTTTTTAATCATCTCATTAACTTGCTCCTTGTTACACTGACTTGCTTTGCACTCATTTGGTGATGAAAATCTACCACCTAGAAAAATGCAGCTGGTTAAATTGTATAATGAAAGGCATTTGCTCCTGTATCCCAATTCTGCACACATCTTATGTATAAATGTGTGTTTTTGCTGAAGAGCACACACACTGCTTTGAAATCACTTCCCTGCACTACTGAGAAACACTCTCATGGAATTTTTATTTCTCCAACACTAATATTTGGGCTGAAAGGCAGAGATCCAAGTGCCAGAAATAACCTTTACACTTCCCACATGGAATAGCCATTTAGTAGCTAGTTAAAACAGTTATCAGCATTAATTGTTTTCAACTATCTTTGCAGTTGCAGAACACATTTTGAGCCTAGTTGCTTAGTCCACAAGAAATTCTATTCCCCTCTGTATCTCCTTTTCCATCTCACTTTTTCATTTAATATTGATATTTGAGAGGTCACAGAGCCACATCATTCAAATGTTCTGAGAGGAAATAGTCCCAGCTCCACAGCTAAAGCAACTCTGAACTGTCTCCACCGATGGGGCTCAGGATATGGCTCATGTCCCTCACATGCATAGCTAACAGCCTTGTTTGAATAACCTTCCTCATGTTTCTGAGATTAATATGAATGCACTGGTTCTGGTTAGTCACAAGAGAGGTCAGATTTTTCAATTACTAACAAGAACTCCAAAGATCATGGGGGAGAGCAAAGTGAAGTCAGATTTTATTAAAGCCGAGCTGTAACCACAAAGCTATGCCCTGGAATAAAGTAACCCAATTAAACCCCCAAATCTTCAAAGCCTTTAAAAAAATGTTTTCATCCTTTCATTTTGAGTAACAGTGCAGCAGCACAGTTACACTGCTAACTCCCACTAACACAATCCCACTCCAGCTAATAAACACATCTCTCCACAAAGCCTGTGTTTTTAGAAAGTTGGAGTCTTTACACAGTTCTGACCACAGGCATTCAGTCCTTAAGTGCAGAAGATACAAAAGGCCAATACATAAATAATATATAAATATAAATGTAACAATGCCTGGGGCATCAATCACCTCTCTAGGAAGCCTGTTTGGTAAAGACAATGCTTCCTAATGTCCAGTCTGAACCTCCCCTTGTGCAGCTTTGAACCATTCCCACGCATCCCATCCCTGGACACCAGGGAGAAGAGACACATTAAAAAGAAGGTACTTCAGTATATCTCATGGCCCAGTTTACTCTCTTTTTCCCCACCCAGTGAAGTCCAAGCAGCAGTAGTTGGTAACTGAGCAGAAGGAAGTGATGTGCTTTCTCACCAAGCCCAGGAGCAGGCCAAGCAGCAAGGTGGCTAAGACGAAGGTCGCGTACGACACCCAGACGTGGACTCCAAGAGTGCCAGTGAGGTAGTTGTGGATTTGCTGGGAAGGAGAAGAAGGTAATTAGCATCATACCTTACACCACTTTTTTGCAGCCTCTGCTGCAGGAAGGAGACCCTACAGCACAGCACCTCTGTCTACGTGTCTAGACTAACAGAAGTCTGGGAAGCTGATGGTTTTAAAAAGGTAACTTAGAACTTAATTTCAGAACCAAAAAAGGAACCAAGTCAGGTTAAAAGTAAGTGTCCTTTTATACCCACTTTACAAGGACACCATCAAGTGAAAGAAAGCAATGTCACCTCATGCAGAGCTTTATCCCCATAATTGCATCTGGGAAGCAGAGTGGTAGACTCTTAAAAATTGCACAAGATCAAAATACAGACTTAAATTTGGGAATCAACTCATGAAAACTACACTGCTTAGTTCTTACTCAAGCTCTTTAGTTCTTACAAGGAGCCACCCATTCTGAACAGACACTGAATAGGTGATTTCACTTACACACTTTGAGAGAATAATCCAAACATAATACTAGGATTTCTTTGAAACTCAAGTCTGTCTTTCAGTCCTAAAAATTCAATTGACTGAACCAAGCACCACATCGAGTCAGTCTGGTAGGAAGGAGATTATGACACCAGGTCTCTTGCAAGAGTATATCCATTAGAAACAAACCACAATCAACATTTACAAAAGTTTAAATGTTGAAATTCCACTCTTTTTTTCATGTCAGAGCAGCTTCCAACATTTATTAAAGCATATGCAAAGACAGCACAGCCAGAAGAGTGAGGAAACATACAGCTGAAATATTCATCAAAGCAGAAAGCAAAATAGAGAAGGCTTCTTCCCAGAGCATCTCATCTTTCAGGAAGGAAACTAGACAGAGACAGCATCATTACACAGCAGTCATGGCAGAGATGCCAGAAGGCTATAAAAAGTTAATACTATCCAGTGATAGGAAGAATCTAAGCTAGCTTGCACAGGAAACCTAACAACTGAACGTTTTGCTTGATTCTGGGTCAATTAGATACTTACTGGAAGCAACAGGAACTCTGTTCAAACTCTGTTACATTTATTTCTTTTAGCACACGTTACAACGTTGAGACTTTTGCTACAATCAAATGTAGTCTCTGCATCTTGCCTGCACTTGAAGATTTTAAGAAAGAGCTCCTCACCAGAACTGGAAAGGTCTGGAAATCCTCAGTATTTGCATGCTAAAGGAAACACTTTGCTAGCTCCCAAATGAAAGTGTCTAGAAATACTCAAGTTCAAATATACTTCAGTGTATTCCAAGTATTTCTCCTTTATTTCTGATCATTACTCTGCTGTCCAGATTGGTTGTGTTCCTGTGTGGATGGCACTGACAGCTACACCCAGATGCAGAAACTTGTACTAAAAAATAAAACCATGACCCTCTCTTATGTTGCACAATGCACTGGATGCAAATAAACTGCAGAAAAGCATTATTTACAACTCTGAAAATGAACCTGCATGTATCTTTAGAAACAGTATGGAGAGAACCTGGTAGATACTAAATGTATTCCTCATGCTTACAACCTTTTTTGCAGCAGCTCTAAAAAAAACAAACCTACTTAATCCTGTTAGCACAGTTTGACAGAAGATTTTAACTGCACCAAGATAATAAGAAGAGTAAGTATGTTCAGTACTGATGAACATCTTCACAGCCAAACTGCCATTTTTGGTAGAGTCTATTAGTACTGCTACACTCATGGTGCAGAGATACTATATGCTCCATGTACAGTAAATGTCAGAAGAATTTCACTCTCATGAAAGGATAATAAAAATATTCAGTTAGGTTTTTACTTCTAAACAGACTATTATTCTAACATAAAAAGGGGGTATGGAAAACACTGCCATGTAGTGACTTACCCTGATCCATCCGGAGAAGTGGAACAGCCCTGCCATGCCATGCATCCTAGGACACAAAGAAATGGAGGGAAGAGGTTCTCAGCCAGCTGGGAGATGGGACACACAGCAAACTGCACAGAAACCCAGGAAAGGTCCCACAGAGCTTCAAGGCCATTCAGGCCCCAGGAACTGCCAGCAGGAGGCTCCTGCCAACACCTTCGTTTTCTCTGCATTATATTCTTTTAAGGCAGCTCAATGCACAGCATTGAAGCAGCGACTCAGAAGGTGCCATTTGAGTCTAGTCAAGAAACAGCAATTCCACAGCTCAACCCTGGGCAGCCACAGCTGCCTCCTGCCCAGCTCACAGCCCTGTAACCCCTATTTCAAAGCAAATCCAGTGCTCTGATCACCAACTCTGATACACCACGCAATCACTACACTGTTTCCTATTCCAAGGGAGGACAAAAGACTTCTCTGTAAACAGATAAGAAATCCTTAAAGCTAAAGGCTGCCAGCCCCAAGCAGTCAGAAGTCTTGAAGTCATCATCTACATAACTGTGCATTTGATGCCAGTCCTCAGCAGATATGAAATGGACTGTTACACAATGTTCAGCAGCTGCACTGTTTTTCTGTATGTAGTTTCAAAGATGACATAAACAAGCCTCAGCAGGCATGAACAAAATCAAAGGCAGAAAACAGACAGCTTTTAAAGGTGTGAAACTGAAAAGGAGGCTGTCAACACAGATTGCTTCTACAAAGCCTACGGGTCTAGGGAATAAAAGCCTTTTGTCTTTAAGCTGCCAACATAGCACCCTTCATGAATAATGAGCTATAAAACATGTTTCTTGTTAATAAAAACAAAGTGTTACATTATAGAAGATGGAGACTTCCATCCTGCTACAGGCTCCACAGCTTCCCATTTCCTCTCTAAAACATAATCTTGAAGATCCTCCAGCGTCCGTGCGCCTCGGTACCTGCGGAACACTCCATCGTTGGCACTGGAAAACCCAGAACACAGAAATCCACATCAACACAGACAGCCCTGACAAGGTACCCATGGTAAAAAAAACACAAAACAAAACAACACCAAAGCAACACCAAAACCACCAAACCAACCACCCAAAACTCACCCAACAAACCAAATGAACCCCCCACACACAGACATTCCAGGCTTGCCCAGGAAGCTGAACACCTCAGCATTTTCAGTGTGTTTTCAAACTGTAACCCATGATGGAAGGTCTCAGTTTTTAGACAGTATGAGCTTTTGCTATTTATTAAAACAGGTATTTTTCTTAATTATCCGCTCACACTACGGCAAATACAGAGCACATGAGGTTAATAACCTCCTTTTTTAGAGACAACTCAGAATTAAAAGTGTGTGTATATATGCATGACTCACAATACCATGATTTAATGAAGGGTTTAATATTCAAAGGATGACATCTTATTGGACAGGAGGTATAGTAAACATTTTCTGATCTGTTTTTAACAATACTGATAACAGGGCAACTTGGTACAGTCACTTAAACTGAAGAAAAGCCTCAGATCAGGACTTTAGCATACAATGAAAGCTCCAACAATAACCTGAACTGAAATCAAGAGTCAGTATTTGTTCATTTTCCCCTGGGTTTCAGAGTTATAGTTTAAATGAAGTGACAAGGAGGAGTCAACATCTACACACTGGTGCTGACTCAAGAGAGGAAGAATTCTAAGCAGTAACAGCAGCAGTACAACACAGTGAAAAAATTCTGTACTGTTTTACGTGCAACCTATGCAGCCAATTATTCAAATGAGTCATTTTAGAGAGGCTTCTACAAGGTTAAGTGTCTGCTCACATATGGTTGGGTTTTTAAAAGGGAAATATGCACTAGTTTTTACAAATGCTCTTAAATATTGTTGCCAGACTGAAAAGGCATCACTTTCATCTAGGTACAAAGCTGACTGCAGGAGAATGTTCCACCATAAGTTAAAAATACTTTGTGTTCATAAAGAGCACCAGGGTCCTGAGAAATGTTTTAGAGATTGACAGAGGTGAAATAAGCCAATTGTTCATTCCCACTTCCAGGCCACTGTTCAAACAGCACAGGAAAACAAATCATGTACTAAAACAGACAACTGTTTCTGGTTTGACACACTTACTGGTAAATTGTAGGAAGTGTTGTGACAAAGAAACGACCACTCAAGCCTAGAAAGGGGAAGAAAAAAAACCCACATCAAACAGTTCAGTGAAAGTGAAATTTCTCAGCATTCTGACTTCTCTACAAACACCTACAGATCTGTATTTGCAGCCTAGAAAGCAGACTGCACAACCTGTATTTACACAACAGTGGTACAAGCTAACAGTTTGCCTGTAGAAACACAACAATATTAAATAGCTGCTACTGTCTGTAAACAAATGAAGGAAAGAAGTTGACCCTAAAGAACATTCACTACAATGTAATTGTTCTACACAGCCTTCTCTCATTAATATTTGCACACAGCTCATGTTTTGGACCAGAGCAGCAGCATGCCCCTCCAACTAAGAGGAAGAAGAGCTACCCAACTACAGCTGCACCCAAGATGCTGTGTGCTCGTGTCTGTGCGTGGTGTCATCCAGATGACCTTTGTTTCATCTACAGAGTCAGGCAACTCACAACCATGGCAATGCCACCAACACCTTACAAACTCTGGCTCCTGATCTTAATGCATCTTCAGGCTGATTTTAAATGATTTAGAGCCACACATTTAAGATACTTCAATTTATTAAATAAATTAATCTTCCTATTTGCTTGTTTGCTTCTTCCAAATAATCCATGTACACCACACAACCAGTCTGTTCTATCCTACAGGAAGGCTCAACCTCATCAGCACAGCTAGCAAGACAATGGTTTGACTGGTTTTGGGTTCTTATCCTTCCTCCCCATACATCATTCCTCTCTGGGTGAGTACAAATGGCATGCCAACAGATTGATAAAAAAAGCTGAGATGTCTCAGCATTCTGTTCTGTAAATTACTGCAAATTTAGGCCACAAGAGTAATTTTTTACACCACCCAGAAGGTTGAGTCACATCAGCATTTTGAGCATCAGACACAAGACAGTAGAAAGGACAAAGAAAGGTTGAAGCAGGGCTTCAGGAGCCTGACTGGAATTGATCCCCACACTCTAAATCCTTCACTGACTGGCAGATACATTATAATCCTATTAGTAACACCCTAGGTAGCAACAACATAATGTAACTCAAAGCAATTCGCCAAATCATCAAAAAGCAGCTTGTGAGGCAGAAGGTGTTTGAAGTTCTCTGCTACAGGGTAACAGCTGCAAGCACTTCCAGCTTCATTGCTGCACTAGGTAGGCCAAGGAAGATCTCCCAGTGCAGGGCTTTGTTGTCAAAGAGACAGCTGGGAAGCAAAAAGCTCCCCAACACCTCACAAGCAGCCTGTCTGTATGACTCCACCAGCTAAGTTGCCAGATGAAGGCATATCTGTCTCCCCTCTGCTTCCAGATCCAAGGCAAACCTGGGCTACTTGACACCACCACCTCCTGACAATCAGAAAACCTGCAGTGGGAGGAAGAACTCACCTTCATGCTCAGCAATGTCACTTACTGCTCAACACATCCAACTGAGATACTGCAGAAATTAAAAACATGCTACAGTCTACTTTGGGAAACAAACAAACCCAGACTTCAGAGATGACAAACCCCCAGATACACAATCTAGCTCCATTAGTAAGGGCTAAATTCCTCTTGCCAGCAATTGTCATCCATATAAAGTACAAATCAGTTATTTAACTTTGCCTTTTATAAAGCTGTTTCCTTCCTTACTTGATTTTCAATACAGGAAACATCTTTGGCACCAGGAAGATACCCATGGAAAAGTGTTGTAGCAAGAGAGTTTCTGCCTTTAGAGGCAAAGACAAGCCACACTAAACTAAGTCATTTTTACAAGTTCCAGTAATACTATTTCTCCTAATGTGAATTCCCCTGTGGAATAGGTAAAAAAGGGGTTTTGGGGGGCTTTTTTTTTTTTTTTGATTGTTCAGTGTTTCCTTAGCAAAGGATGCTTACATCAAACCAAGTGATTTCTTCTTCTTAAAGAAAGTGATCTTCATTTCAACCTTCCAGCTTTCTGCCTTTATTGCTATGAGATGCAAGGTGGTAGAAAACTTTACAAGCCAGGTAAAAGCAGTGCCAGCACAGGGAGATGTAAACAAAACCACCAGTGTAACATTAGAATTCAGCAAGCAGAAAGCACAGCTGCACAAGAACAACACAGGTAGAGAGCCATAAAGAATGTAATGAGCTTAAGAGCAGAGAAAGTCATGGAACACTGAAAGACTCTCTGAAGTTCTTACAAATGCTGGTCAGGCAAACAGAAAACAAGATGGCCAGCTCTGACCAGTAGCCCATCCTAGAGCAAGGATCAGCCTCAGAATGAACAATGAAATCTAGACACTATCAAATATAAAAATGGTCAAAATGCATCTAGGCATCCCCAAAACTTTAGTTGGAGTTTATTTGCTTATCTAAGGCACCTGCTTAAAACAGTAAAACCAGATGGGAGCCAGCTACAAAAAGCCAAGAACAACAACAAATTGTTTCCTACAAACTTGAACTGGCTGGTAGTTTTAACTTGGAGCATAGTTCAGCATCTGTCTTTGCAAATCAAAAACTGACATACACCCATTATAAAGCCAACAGATAAGAATACAAAAAGCCTTCAGTATTTGCACAAACAGAGAGACACACCAAAATATACAGGGAGGAGAGATGTCATCTAAAAATAAAGCTGCTTTCATCAAACTCAAAGGTTAAAGAAGACCCAAGAAGCCTTGCCTGGAATCATGGGTAAATGTTGTGATATGGAGCTTACGAAAGGCACCCCAAATACACACAACTTGGAGATCCAGCAGTGCCTGCACTACTTACACTTGAAATACTGAACGTTTCAAGAGAAAAGATGAGGAAGGAACAAGCACTTTAAGAATAGTACATCCAGTGACTGAAATATGCTGTAAATCCATTAAGGCTCTGATGGATTTATTCTTTGGGCATCTGCTGTAATTAAGCACCATGAATGGCTACTTTCTCCTGCAGGTTTTGGAAGTGCAATTTTATGCAACTCTGTGCTCATCTAGTGGTTTTCCCCTAATTTAATGCATTTTGACCACTTTCAATTTGCTGAAGGGGTTACATAACCAGAGCTAATTAAGGTACCATTGTGCAAGCACAAACAGGAGCTAGAGCACTTAGGCACACCAACTGAAAGAAAGGCTGAGGTATAAGTCAGTAATAAAAATACCTCAGCTTTGGAAGACTTCCAAAGGAGCCCATACACCTCCCAAATGACATCAGCACCAAAGGTTAAATCTGTAATAGATCTTTGTTTTCCAGTTTGAGCCCTCATTAGTTTTAGAAGCAGCTACAGTTTTCAGGCTTTGTGCTGAACTGGATGTTGTAGGTATATTATGCATGCTTTGGGTCAGTCCTTTGACTTGCAGAAGTCAAACATCCTCAGAGGTCAAGACTCTCAGCAATATTAGAAATTCAAATATTTCAGGAACTTCTGGTTAAAAGTCACGTCTAAGGCATCACTCAGTGAGAGAAATTCAGACCAACAAAGTATCACAAGTACCTGATCCCTTCAGGTCCACATACTTCCATTCAAGGTCTTTATCAGGAAGAATAATTCCAGACCTCAAGCATTTTATTTTTACAGCCTCACTTCTCAAAGTGCATTTTTAACTTAAAGTCACATTCAAATGCCACAATCAAGACTGAAATGCTTTTATTTGAGCACCCATAAGCAAAAGCATCCTCATCTAATTGGGAGAAAATAACAAGATAGGACTATAATGGCTTCCCATTTGCAGCCTTAACTCCAGAGCAACCACTAGATCGTTATCGCACAGAAGCTAAATTTCTATCTAGGCAAAAAATTTTAATATTCAAACTAATCTGTTTAATAAACTGTTAATGATTAATATATACACTAAAGGAGAGCCCCATATCAACAGCTTTTTGGCATCAGAGCTTTTGTATACTTCTGAACCTCATTAGCCTACACAAGGTCTAGAACAGCTGGCATCTTCTTGTGAACTTAAATTGCTCTGAGACCAGAGGTTAAGTCATTTCCCTGCTGTTAACTTGCTAAAGCTAACTCATCCAGCATGGCTTCAAATAATAAAATGGACATATTTTCTACACACTCTAAGGCAAAAAAAGTCAATAAAGCTTAGCCTTTATTTTAGTAACATCTCTTCCTAACTCTGTCAGTCCTTTGATACCACTCATAAAACCTTTTATCCTCTTCAAGCCAAAGCAAGCACGCAGCATTCCCAAGAGATGCAAAGGTTTAAACAATATTGGCACTGCTCACACAAACACAAATTCAAAACTTTGAAGAAAGTCACTAAAGGAGTATGTAAGATCATATTCATGCTTCTGCAAAGTCAGGAAACCCTTTTTGCATATGTGCATGCATATGTGCACCACCAACAGAAAACAGCAGCAACATCTGTCCTTTAAAGCACTACTACAATTAAACAAGAGAATAACCAGCACTGTTGTGGAAACAGTTAAGAATTTCTCACAGCAGGCTCACGCTGTGGTAATGCTACCACACCCTGACACTGGGAACTGGAGGCTACAGAACTGGGCTGTTGTGCAGGCAATCTGGAGGAGAGAGCAGCGAGACAGGCAACAGCTTTCAGGGAAGATTAGAACAGAAAATAAGTCCCTTTTAACATAGTATTAAGCCAGATCACTCCCCCAGTTCTTTAATCCTTCAAATTGAGTTTATAAATTTAGGCTTACAGATATGAACTATGTGGAGAAACAAAAAGTGGTAACATTACTTTTGTTTAGAAACCCCTTTTCTGACTGGCTGGCATCCCAGGCACTCCAGCAAACCAAGGTGCACTCCCAGACACGGAGTGGTACTCACACTGAGTCATTCCTTCCAACAAGGCAGCCTGTTCCATGTCATACCTGGCTCCTGAGTGACATCCACCTTCCCTACGGTGACAGCTAGACGCTCGCTTTCCTTCCCGAAACTCTCCCACGTCAGTTCAATCTGTTTACAAGCTGGACACCAAGGAGCATAGCTGAAGGGGGAAAACAAAATCATTTTAGTTTTCTTACACTTACATTCAAACTGATTTACTGTGCAGAGAAAATACAAACACATAAATCACACAGGAAAAAAACTACTGCTTCTCTTCAGCAAGTCTACAGAATAAGATAATCAAGTAGTTTTGTATCAGTCCCCACATTCCTCCTCATGTTATTAGAACAACAAATATCCACAAATTTGAGAAATTCATATCCAAACCCCTCCTGACTTGTGATTTATTCTACGTACATATGAAACACATTAATTTCCATGGCAGCTATCTGAATTACTGAAGCCAGTGTGCCCTCTGAAGCAGTACCCATCAACCTAACACTATATTGATTTCCCACACCTCAGAACTTCAAGAAGTTATGTTTGCCTTAGCCCACTACTCAATACCTCAAAGCATTCCCTTTTTGACAGCACTCTTCAGAGACTGAAAAAGAAAGCACATCGAACTCCTACTGCTCATATTGCCCATCTTTCTCAAGCCTTGTTTTTTCTCAGAATTTCAGCAAAAGAAGACAGCACATTTCAGCAGCTGAGTTTTCTATACCACCAAGTGGAATAATCAAACTAATTCTGCAGTTGTCACAGGATCAGCACGGAGACAGAACAGCTAATATAAAAGCATAATATCAGATAAAACTCCACCTGCCATCTTTATGTATTTTACCCTAATTTGGCTGACAAAAGCCTGTGTCCAACTTGTGCAGCCTGCAATGGTCTGTCCTGTGCCCAATGGAGGTACCAGGACATCTCAGCAGAGCCTTGTGACTGAGCCACAGCAATCGCCCATACACAGACTTAACCTTTTACAGATGAAAAAAAAGACCTTTACACAGCCACTGCTAACAATAGAACCAAAATTCTTCATGGGAAAAGGCCAATATCCTGCAGAGCCCACCTAACCACTGCACTCTACTGGGAACCTCTACAAGGAACTCTTACTCCTTCAGTTTGTCTGCCTG